ATGTCAATTCAAAGCTGACATGTCATCATATTTTTACATAATTTAACAGTTCAAAGCTGTTAAAATTATGTAAAAATATGATGACATGTCAATTCAAAGCTGTTAAAGTTATGTAAAAATATGATGACATGTCAATTCAAAGCTGTTAAAGTTATGTAAAAGTATGATGACATGTCAATTCAAAGCTGTAAATGTAATTTGGTGGCTTAAAAATTGAGTTGGAAGGAACAAGTAAAGCACTTGAAATTTAATGCATTAAAATGTTTAACTTTATCAAGTTGATGCAAGATTTCAACTATCGTTAAGCATCTCGTCCTGAGCAACAAAATCAGGTTTCCATTATTCAGAGATAGATATTAAATAATGAAATGACTAGTTTTGTATATTAAGGTTATGCGCGTAAAGAAACATGGAAAATTCCTGTCGAGGCCTATTGCGGTAACCTTACGTGCGTGGTCCATGATCTTAGAAGCGACTGCATAGCCTTTCATTCAAGCTGTGTATACATGTATTCTTCCCTTATACGTGTAGTTTGAATACGTTACAAGTCTATACATTAAGGTTCGTTCGATAGATGATTGCATTATACAAATGATACATGAAACGATGATGCAACCATGCGTTTAGTTGTAAATTATTCATAATACATTAACATTTATGTTTCTATTCGAGCACAGGGGTTCAGTACGTTATACTAAAGCGAATTTGGAGCTTCGCCACGTTGTTACAGTCCATGTCGCTATGTCCAGTCAGACTCTGTCTGACGACCGCGCATCTTGACAATAGCCCTGCAGCGTAGTTTCCATTGGAAAAGCCTCCGTCGTAAGGCTATCAATTCCAAAGAACATGAATACTCCTTAAAGCCGAAGACATGGCGATCAAGATGCGGACGCAACGCCTACTGATTTCTGTGAAATTGGACTGTCAAAACAAGCGCTGAAAAACAATCGTTCTCCTACACTAGATGGATTATGAAACAATCTCACAGAAATCCGCAGTCCTGAAATGCCATTAATGTTTTGGGTGATGTATTGAAAACCGGTCGTGTTGTTTCTTTTCACACGTTTCAAAGTTGGCACTGACCGAGAAGTAATTTCGTTTGATGACTTGTCAACTATTTCACATCAGCACGTTCAATGACCTCCAGTTTCTCCATCATATTGTTTACAGTTAACTTGGGTGATTGTAACCACGAATGTCGCGTGCACTCGCACTACTAATGATGTACTTACTAACCATTTCTTTTAATAACCAAAGTCGTTGTTTTTCTAGGGCAGAACTACCCAATGAGCTATCTGCGCACTGTCCACTGTGGGGAATCGAATCCCGAATTTTAGCATTATAAGTCGTAAAATCGTAGATGTATTGAAATCAGGTGTCTTACTGCTATACATTATGTGCGAATATAATATCGTATTTTTTTTCAATAGAGTATTTTTTTTTAAAAGTTCGACTATTTAAGGGAATTTTCAAAACTACCTCTGAAAATGTTTCCGCCTAATAAGTTACGATTATCATCCAAAGATTAATGCTCAATTTGTAGCTTACTTTGAACCATGATACGTTTTACGATCATTTCAATTTTCAAATGTTATTTGCAAAATGTAAATGAAAGTACAATTAATCGTTTATTAAAGTTTTTATCACCAGGTGTCCAGCAAAAGCTTAATAGGATTTTATCATGTTATTTTCCTAGAAAATTAAAGAAAAGGGAAGATGAAAAAGGTTTCGTGAAACATGATGAACTACAAGAAGAGTCCTATGATGCAGAGAAGCCATCAAAAGAAAAGAAATCCTGGCGGAAGTATCTGGAACCTAATTGTCCCTGCTGCCCTAACCTCTCCAAGCGATACTCAATAGCCGTACTTAGTTTCTTCGGATTCCTCATCAGCTTTGGTATACGATGCAATCTTGGAGTAGCCATTGTTCAGATGGTCAGCAACACGACAGCTGAAGTAAGTGATATTTTTATTTTCGATATTAGCGTTCCACACTGTGGATCCGATGATCCATGGTTTTCGCCCTGTTACCGCCAAGAAAACAAAAACACACTCCGCACATGAGTGCGTTTATAAGATTGACTTTTAAAACCTAATATTCGAGTTGGTGTTGACCAGCTGCCTTCCCTCTAGTCTATCACTTGAATCCCAATTGTTGGTGTTAGATGGTGTTGACCAGCTGCCTTCCCTCTAGTCTATCACTTGAATCCCAATTGTTGGTGTTAGATGGTGTTGACCAGCTGCCTTCCCTCTAGTCTATCACTTGAATCCCAATTGTTGGTGTTAGATGGTGTTGACCAGCTGCCTTCCCTCTAGTCTATCACTTGAAAATCGGGGATGGCTAGCGCAGATAGCCCTCGTGTAGCTTTGCGCGGAATTCAAAACAAACCAAACAAACAAATCGTTTCTAATCAACCGACACAGCATGGTGGTCACCAACGTTACATTCATTGCTGTTTTATCCTGATGAACAGTAAATGTTTTGACAGAAAAAAATATCACATATATATATATATATATATAGCGGTTATTCTAATGTTGGAAGTGGCATGCAGTGGGGCTGTCACTGTTCATTCAGATAAATCCGTCTTAGAAAACACTTCCTATTTTGCTCTGAATTAGCTGGGTTGCTTAGATGGGCCCCTGACAATTCAATCACTAAGGGTCCTTCCCTTCATACGGGTCCTACCCCTGAAGTCACCACGTCTTTGCTCAGAGAACCATCCGTTGCTATGATCAATGTTAGACTATATATATATGTGCAATCCACGGCTTCGGTTGCGTTGACCTGTCCTGACCTTTCCTGATCAATGTTAGACTATATATGTGCATTCCACGGCTTCGGTTGCGTTGACCTGTCCTGACCTTTCCTGATCAATGTTAGACTATATATGTACATTCCACGGCTTCGGTTGCGTTGACCTGTCCTGACCTTTCCTGTTGCTAGTTTTCATTGTTTTGAACTTAATGTTATCTGCTTGGACCCACTAAATATTTTTGGTGCTTTCCAGCCAGTTTACATATGTCCTTTCCATCTTGCTTTGTCTCTCAGCAGTTGATCAAATTCAATATCTCTATTACTGCCTTTCTAAGTACTCATATATTTCTTTAAAATACGTGTTTTTTACGATTAAGTACTATAGACAATAGCTTATTAATATTTCAGTCAAAAAGAATGTATATCAAGAACTATTTAAATTTTACTGTAAAGGACATATAATTTTTCGAGTATCTTTATTTTTCAACTTACCTTAAAAGAAACTCTGTTTTCTCTCTCTAAATAATCGTCAAATATTCTTGTTTGATAGGGAAACACTCCAGAATCCTATATAATCTCTGAGAAACTCAATTTTTAACATTCTGACTGTTCGTTAGATATTCAGATTAATTTCACAAATGTGAAAAGCGTAAGAACGAACCATTAGTACAGATAATTGAGGGCTAGTCACGCTATGTAAATAAAATAAAAAAAATTGCTAGGCTCTTATGCTGAAGCATCCCAGTGACTGAGCGGTTGGTCTGAGGACTTATAACGCTAAAATTCGAGTTTCGATACCTGAGGTGGGCAGAACATAGATATTCTATTGTACGGCAACAAACAAACCCATTCTGAAACTAGGAAATACTTCTTAAATTCTCCATTTGGCGGTTATGATTACACACTAGTGCTCGACAGCGTAATTCCAGTGTAACGAGCTTTTGCCAAAAAAAAAAAACCAAAAAAAACAACTACATATCTTGATCAACTTTCCACAGAATCGCCATTATAAGTGAACGCCAGCTTTCGAAATCACGTTTAGTAAGCTGACGAAAAGCATGTGATTTCCATTAGAGTTGCAAGAAGGACTTGATAAGTACGTTATTGAATGGGATTCTTGTAATTCCAGTTTCTTCGTCGGTCTTTCTCATGAAAATATCTATCGATTTCTAGGCGTGGCTGGAAGTTTGTGAACATTTTGGCTTGTGAGCCTTCTCTAATTCAGATGCTTTCTTTATTATCTGTTAACGGTACGATAAGATATTATCGTTTTCCAAGCAATGCTTTTTTGGGGGGTCGGAAGGTTCTCTTTCATAAGTATTGCTTTGAATTTGTGATTGAGAGCGTTACTTGAATTGGAACGTGATTTCAGTCTTTTAATTTTCTAAATGCTTTGCTATTCAAGAATACGAAGGTCTCTCTCTTCTTCGTAATGTTGTTTCCTTTGGTTGTACATCGTATAACCATCGCGCTGTACGAATATGTTTTCTCGGAAAGTGTTGCGACATAACTGTTCAGTCATAAATGTACTCGTGGTGGCTTTGTACTTTGAATGGTGTGGATTGTGCCTTAAATATATGTACTAAGCGTGCCACCCGCAGTACCATGGTTCGAATCTGTACCACTGCATCATCGCATACTAATCAATTTTTTAAAATGCGATTAAGTGTCTTTAGTAACCGCTATCCTAAGGACCGAGGTTTAAAAAAACACATTTAACTTTAAAAAATAATCCGTCAATAAATGGGATCTATTTTACGAAAACTGAACACGTACTTAGCATTATAATTGAATGTAATAAACCTAGAATATATATGTTGTAATCGAATGTAATGATCATTACTTTCTGAACAAAGCAAGCTATCTACATTGATCCAGTCTAAAAATAACCCAGGGACTGATATAGCTAATATAATGTACCGGTCAAACTAGGAGTGTGCACTGCCATGAAATTAAAAACTCATAACGGCTAGAATGGATTGGTTAGATATCCCTACTGCTAGCGATATTTTTGGCTATTAAATCAACTCTACACCCTTACTAAAGTATAACATTTCTTTAATCATTTTTTGTTTCTTGAACCGGAAATAGGCTGTGTATTTTAATTTGGTAAATGTTCACGTTACTTTGACGTTGTAGTTGCACAAGTTTTTAGTCCCTGGAATTACTCGCAAAAATTGTTCTTAATGGCTATTTATAAAAGTGTACTCATTGTCTCTAATTTTGAGCTTATGACAGATAATACCGAACACAAGCAGTTATTCTACGATGTTATAAAATTTTCATAAGTATTTTGACTTTTTTCTTTATTCATACCCTCATTAGCGGATTTTAGATTATAATCCCCCCCCAAAAAAAACTGATAAGATTAAGTTACTTTTTATGTAAATATAATTTGGAATTTTAAACTTGTTCAGAGTTGTTTTACGTGTTTTAATAGAACTGTTTTCAAATAAATCATGTTAACGGTGATCTATTGTAAGTAATTAAACAGGAAAACGTTGATGGAAAATTCTACAATTATCTTGATGGGCAATGATTTGATTGGGAACCATCTTCAGTTTAACTCTTAATGTGACAATCTGTTTTATATAATTGGCCGATACGTGCTTGATCTTTATAAAAAAAACAGTTTTTCGGAAGTATTAAGATATATGTGAATGCTTAACTTGTACAAAACATAATAAACAAAGCTCTTTATTTAACTTTGCACACCAATATATCACAATGCAGCGCAGTTAACCGAGCTACACAGTTATGATGGTTTAAGTTATACAGCAAGACTTGAATTTTCACACATTGACTGATTGATGAGAACACGAAGTTCATACTTTCACTCTTAAACTAACCACAAGAGACAGAGCAGATTGGACACAAATAAAATTGATAAAATGCTCTATTTCTTACATTAAGAGCTAAGAAGAGACTGGCTTTTCTACGTGTAAGAATAAGTATCACCTACTAGTTCAAACTGTAGAACAAGTCTTAAAATATCACAGTCACAGACGACCCACACTATTACATCTACAACAATAGAGCAGATACGAAACCAATCAGAACATTCACAGATGACCCATACTATCACATCTACAACAATAGGGCAGCTACAAAACCAATCAGAACATTCACAGATGACCCATACTATTACATCT